CACTTTTTTTAAGCTGTAAGTCAGTGTGAGAAAGAAAATTCTTTTCCCGTGAAATAATAGGTGTAAACCAGGCACTGAAAACTCAGCCACAAATTCCCCTTCACAGAAAAGGAAGCATGAAAAATTGCTCCAATTAAAATGCTGATTCGCTTTACTTCTTTCAATAACATGGAGTTGGGAACTGAGCCAAGCGATAAACTGGTTAGAATGTCAGTTCTGTTGTTGTCATCATCTGGTGCTGATAATGTTACATTCTAACTAGCTGGTGACCAAATTAGTTCTTGGAAACCGTGCCTGAATCAGTCTTTGATCGTTTCCTGCTATAAAGCTGTAAGGACAATGCCTGTTATGCTTGGCAAATCTGTGCATCCCATAATATCAGCTAATCTATCCTATCAAGCACTTTACTGGAACTGCTGAAGCAGTCCATCTGAAATGTTATGATTTGGAAGGGCCCAAAGGGTTCAGTTAACTAAATGTTTACCTTTAGGTTTTTCAATCTGTACTTATCCAGCTCCAATCCAGGAACTGAACTCATAATCTAGCCAAACCACTATAGTGCAGAACTGTAATAGGGAATGCTGCATTATCAGAAGGGTCATCTTCGAGGTGGGAGATCTGCTTCTATGTGCTCGGATCGGTGTCAAACATCCCATTGCAATAGAAGAGAGCAGGGACAAGATCTCTCTGGTGGCTTAGCTGAAATTCATCTCCTTAGTCATGCAAAACAAACAGAATACTGATCATTGATTTGCTGTTGCTGTTTGTATCATTTTGCAAATGTACAAAGTGACTATTGCATGCTGACATGACAGTAACTGTCCTTCACAATATTTAATTGTATTTGAAGCTCATTTAGACAGTTGTGAGAGCTGATCTTTTGTTATAAAAAGCAAATTTCTTGTTTTGTCCTTCTGCTAAAGGTTTAACCAGTCTTCTTAAAGGGAGAGCGCTTTCTCAACTAAAACTGCTGCACTTTCAGTCCAGTTGGACAGCTGTTCTGCTCTTGGGTTTGGGTAAAATTCAGCTTTCAGAAAATGCGGTATGACAATGTAGTTAACTACATTCTGAAGTAAACAGAATTAATACACACTACCCTAGTAGTATAGCATAACTAAAAAGCATTTCGAACTTCTAGACATAGAAAGATACAGACCTATCATCAGGCTGTACAATGCATTAAGAGACCTGTATAAACATTTTGTAACTGTGTTTTAACAAGCAGAAGCGAGGAGGGTTGCCAGGGTAACTAGGTTGGTTTTCCCAATTCCAGGTTCCAAGAGCAGGCACCAGCACCCATCTTGGGACATTGTGCGTCACTGAGACAGTTGATTCCCTTATCTTTGCTTCCAACCATGACATTACAGGATGCAGTGGGGAATTGGAGCTAGAAACATAGTGGGGAATTAGTGGTAGATACATACCCAGACAGCAGCATTGTAGACAGACAGCTTCTTATATACAATAGCTTGGGATGCTTTTTTTGTCATTATACTTACTGTACACAATTATTACAGCCATACTAAATGAATATCTAAATATTATAGATCATATTCATGAATATCAATAATACAAGAGCAATAATGATAATTAACAATACTGAATTCTGCATTCAGATAAGAATTTCACAAAATTAAAGTTTCCACAGTTTTTGAATAGCAAACTGCATATGAATATAAACAAGGCTCTCATTCCAAAGTTTCCCTAAAAACCCTTTCACTTTCGCGGAGTTAAAATTGAACCTCTTAAAGATTCAGTCCTACAGATGCTTAGATTTCCATTAAAAACCACCTCAAAATTAGAGCCTTAGCACTTAGTTCTTTAATTTATTTCCTTAGTACTTCATGTTAGAATAAAAGCTGATTTTGTTCCAATCATTTCTGGTTTTGGTAAGGTTCCTGGAAACATCTTATTTTGATAGACATTTGATGGGGCTTTTCATCGAAAAGGTTTACAGGCTATGATCCAGCTTCATTCTAACTGGATCTGGACTGTGTCAGCATGTAAAACAAGCTGAAACATTACAAGAAAAGCTTATGCAGCAAAATAATTGAACGGAATCACAGTCATCTACCTACCTCCCCAGCTGAATGTTATCATTTGTTTTGTTCATAGCTAAAAGTGAATATCTACTTCACAATCTAGGTTGCATGTTAAAAATTCTTTGCCTATTACTTGTTGATCTGGTGGTACTTTCCACACATGACAGATGCCTCATTTTGCTTTGATTTCTAACATATTATGGCAAAGACGCCACATGAAGTTGGACACTTTGTCCCATAATCAAAGTAACTAGTAGAACTACATCTTCAACTCCAAGCATTCTTATCATCCATAAAGTTCTTTCTTTGTTGCATTGGCTATCAGATAATAGCTTCATGATGCAGATTTCAATAAATTTACTGTTGCTAATCACAATTTGAATCGCAATACTGCAAAAACATGTTTGTTTTCTCAACCACCCCCAAAATCTTTTCAGTGCCACAATTCTTGCTGAGGTCAAGGACAATGGGAACAATCTGCTCTCCGCTGCCTTATCTAAATGGCCAATTGTCACTTCAGACCAGACTATCAAACTATTGGGTGAGTATCACAGACTACTCAATTCTCTGACCCACCATGACCCTTTCTCTGTTACAATGGAAAATGCTTCACCTTTTTCAAACCTCCACATTTTAGAACACACTGCATTCTTTCTACCTTCAATACTCTCCTTAAAATCTTGAGGTTTCTGTGTGATAGCTAAAGCACCATGAGAAAATTATATGAAAATGATCACCTTCTCAAACTGTTTAACAACTCTTGCTAGATGTCTAACAACCAGTTCCACTGATCCTTTCCCTACTTCTATCCTTTTCAGAAATATTTGGAATGTTTTGCCCCAGTAAAGATGTTGCATATGATGTATGTTTTCTATATTGACATTCACATACAACCACTTTTTCCAGCAATTCTTACTATGGAACATTCCAAAGAAATCTGGCTGATTTCAAATCTGTACAGCCTTGTCAGCCATTGCTTATGCAGTGGCACTCTTGCCTTTCAGTCAGAGGTTCAAGTTTCATGTCAGAGACTTGAATACAGACCACTTGACACTCTAGTGCATTACGGAGGGTGTGCTCCAAACTAGGAGGTCTCAAGTTTCAGATGAAATGTTAAACCAAGGCCCCATCTGCTCTCTCAGGGAGATATAAACATGGAGGGAATTCTCCCTGTCACTTGGCCAATATTTATTCCTCAATCCATATAACCAGAACAGATCATCTGATCATTCTAGGAGCTTTCTGTGAGTAAACTGATTGTTGTGGTTCCTACTTTACGAAGGAATTTCACTTCAAAAGAACTTTGTTGATTATAGAACATGTTGGGACCAATATGAAAGTTGTTATAAAAATGCACAACATTTTTTCTTTCGCAATGCATATTAAATATTGAAATGGTTTGTCTTCACTTTTAGTTATTCGAAAGGTTTTGTTGTGGATTGGTGACATTTAATGAATATCGACTTGAGTGGTAGTTGTATAAATTCTAATCCTCAATCACTCTGTAGTGCAGGCACATTTTAAAGCTGCCCATTCAAATACTTAATATAGTCATACAGTCACAGAGCTGTGCAGCACGGAAACTGACCCCTCGATCCAACTTGTCCATGCTAACCACATATCCTAAATTATTCTAGTTCCATTTGCCAGCATTTGACCCATATCCCTCTGAACCCTTCCTTTTCATATACCATCCAGGTGCCTTTTAAATGTTGTAATTGTACCAGCCTCCACCACTTCCTCTGGCAGCTCATTCCACACAAGCACCACCTTCTGCGTGAAAAAGTTGCCCCTCAGGTCCAATTAAATCTTTCCCCTCTGACCTTAAACCCATGCCCTCCAATTTTGGACTCCCCTACCCTGGGGAAAAGATCTTGCCTATTTACCCTATCCATCCCCTTCATGATTTTATAAACCGCTATATGGTCACCCCTCAGCTTCTGTCGTTCCAGGAAAATTGCCACAACCTATTAGCCTACCCTATAGCTCAAACCCTCCAACCCTGGCGATGTCTTGGTAATTCTTTTCTGAAACCAGTCAATGCAAGAAGCTCAGTTTAGCTACAGGGAAATCAAAGTCAAGACAACAGGTTTATCATTTTCTGAGCAGAATTTGATCTCTACCACACCAAAGGAAAGATTCTAGATTCACAAACATTCAATGAGTAACTTTGTCACTGCATGCCAATACTCCTGATTTTCAGAAATAGCAGTCCCCTTTGTATGTTATGGGCAAAGCTGCTTGATTCTCATTTCCAAAACAGAAAGATTTTGGAATGCGATTCTCATTGTCAAAAACAACGGAAAATATTCCTAAATCCCCTGAAGTAAAAACAGACCCGATCTTTTTCAGGAACATAAAGTCATAGGCCTGGCAATAATTTCCCAGGATGTGAATCATTGTATATGTTCTGGTTAGTCAGAAAGCCCTGATTCATCTTTAAACCCTCCCAAAGCAAACGAGAAAAGGAAAACACTATACTTCCTTCTGCTGAGTTGGAAAAGAATCCTCTTTCCCAGCTGACTTGTGGCTTATCCTAACTTATTATAGCTTGTAAATCCGAATTAGTAACGGGGGATCAATACGCTGCAGCGAGCCATTTGTTTACATCTTGCTGAACCTGAACACAACTCCTTGGGAAATAATTTGTAAAACAAAATTGAAGACTGGCAGAGGTGAGTCTCGCCAGGGGTAGGTTTTCCAAACTGCTTCTTGTTATTCTACCAGTAAAGAAATGATCTCATCTCCCAGGCTGAATAACTTAATATGGCATTTTTAAAAAGGGGGAGGAAATAAGTGGATTTTAGTCGAGATTATTCTGGTAGAATTTCTTAACCACAAAGAACACTCTGGACATTAACTCTGGGAAAGAACTCAATGAAATCCTAAGTTATCTAGAACTGCGGAAAGAAAAGCTCAGGCGCTCTGCACAAGTTTGTAAAGTCAGCTGGTCCTTACCACTTGATCCCTGGGCGAGGGTATAAGTGATGAGTAAGGCGGTGCAAAAGTTCACGCTGCAGGCTCTCATCTCCTCTCTGTCTCTGTCTCTTGCCGCTTCTCTGTCCGTGTTTGTGCTCAGGAGTTGTAAAGGGAAAGGTGGAAGGACGCCGGAGCTGTCAAGAGCTGATATCGCAGATTAGCGGACACGTGCCTTTCCGCGCATCCAATTATCTCGCTGATTTTTGGAAACCCAGCCTCAGGCATCAGCTCAACGCGTCAAAATAGGAGCTGCCTTCAGGAGGAGCTCAGACAGAGGGGGAGGTTTCTTTGCTTGCAACTCCTTCCCTATCTGACTGTCTGTCTCTGCTCCCCCTCCCCCACTTCGTCTCTTACTCGCTCCTTCCTCAATCTTATTCGACTTTTGTGACTTTTTCTCTTCCATTCTCTCCTTGTGAAATTATTGTGAAGCAAAACAGATTTTATGAAGTTTTTTTTTATGGGGAGTGGGCGCTATTTAAATCTTATTCCCTTAGAATGCTATTTCTGTCTGTTCTATGATTAAGATAATTTATACTTAAAGCAATCATAATCGCTGATTTAATCAAAAATAATTAGGGCTCCCGCTTTATGAATAAAATTCAGTTTCCATTACAAAGGATTCCAGGATTTAATGTTTTAAAAAAGACATCTTATAATTATGTGAAATTCTCTGGCTAATGACTTTGAAAGTAATACTCAGATCTAATACATAAATTTATGACTAACCCTGCAGTGGTTTATAACAATCCTGAGCTGGTATTGAAGTAAACTTTCGACTTGTATTGTTTGCATTTACATATAAATTTGCTATATCAGCCATCACTCTCCCCTCTGAATCGCAGGATGTAGATTCAAGTACAAGTCCTGGATATAAGTTACAAAAGTCAAAACTGACATTTGAATTTCTGAGGGATCGTTCTGTGAAACTACATGGGTAGAAATTCGAAGTAAGAAAGGGATGATCACCTTGATGGGATTGTACTATAGGTTCCCCCAACAGTCAGAGGGAAATTAGGGAGCAAATACGTAGGGAGATCTCAGATATATGTAATAACAATAGGATTGTAATTGTAGAGGATTTTAATTTTAACATTGACTGGGGCTGCCACAGTGTCAAGGGTTTGAATGGTGAAGAATTTGTTAAACGTGTTCAAGAAAGTTTTATCAATATGTAAATGTACTTACTCGAGAAGGAGCAAAACTTCTTTTGGGAAATAAGGCAGGGCAAGTGACTGAAGTGTTAGCAGGGGAACGCTAGTTTTAAAACAGTTATGGAAAAGGATAAGCCTTCCATAAAAGTTAAAGTTCTTAATTGGGGTAAGGCAAATTTTAACAGTATGAGACAAGAACTTTCAAAAGTTGACTGGAGTAGACTGTTCACGGGTAATGATGCGACTGACGAGTGGGAGGCTTTCAGAAGTGTGATAATGAGAGTTCAGAGGCATTTTGTTCCTGTTAGAGTGAAGGGTAAGGCTGGTAAAAGTAGGGAACAAAGGATGAATAACGATATTCAGGTTCTAGTCAAGAATAAGAGAGAATCATATATTAGATATAGACAACTGGGATCAAATGAATCTCTCAAACAGTGGAAACAGTGCAGGGGCATTCTTAAGAGGGAAATCAGAAAGGTAAAGAGGGGATATGAGATAGCTTTGGCAGGTAAGGCTAAGGATAATCCAAAGAGTACAAGTACATTAAGAGCAAAAGAGCAACTCGAGAAAGAATAGGGCCCTTTAAAGATCAACAAGGTCATCTATCTGTTGAACTTCAGGTGATGGGAGAGATACTCAATGAATATTTTGCATCAATTTTTACTGTGAGAAAGAAATGGAGGTTAGAGAACTCGGAAATAAATATTGACGTTTTGAAGACAGTTCACATGACAGATGTGGACGTGCTGGAGGTCTTAGAAAACATAAAGGTGAATAAATCTTATGGACCTGATCAAGTGTATACCAGGACATTGTGGGAAGTTAGGGAAGAAATTACGGGGCCCCTAGCAGAAATATTTGTATCATCTATAACCATGGGTGAGATGCCAGAGGACTGGAGGATGGCTAATGTTGTGCCTTTATTTAAGAAATGCTGTAAGGAGAAACCGGGGAACTGACATTGGTGGTGGGTAAGTTGTTGGAGGTGATTCTGAAAGATAGGATTTACATTCATTTGGAGAGACAGTGACTGATTAGGAATAATAAACATGATTTTGTGCGAGGAAAATCATGTCTCACAAACTTGATTGAGATTTTTGGGGAAGTAACCAAAAATATTGATGAGGGCAGCATGGTAGATCTGGTTTTCATGGACTTTAGTAAAGCCTTTGGCAAGTTTCCATATGGTAGACTAATTAGTAAAGTTAGATCACAAGGGATGCGGGGAGAGCTTGCCAGTTGGATACAAAATTGGCTTGACAGTAGGAGGCTGAGGATGGCGCTGGAGGGTTGTTTTTTAGACTGGAGGCCTGTGACTAGCGGTGTTCCACAGGGATCGGTACTGGGTCCACTTTTGTTTGCAATTTATGTGAACGATTTGGATGAGGATATAAGAGGGATGGTTAGTAAGTTTGTGGATGACACAAAAATTGGTGGTATAGTGGACAGAGAAGAAGATTATCTAAGACTACAAAGAGATCTCGATCAATTGGGTCAATAGGCTGAGAAGTAGCAGATGAGTTTAATTTGGATAAATGCAAGGTTTTGCATTTTGGTAAAACAAACAAGGGCAAGACTTATACAATTAATGGTAGAGACCTGGGTAGTGTTGTAGAAAAGAGAGACAAGGGGTTCAGGTACATTATTCTTTGAAATTTGCATCACAGGTAGACAGGGTGGTTAAGAAGGCTTTTAGCACCCTGCCTTCATTGCTCAGACCTTTGAGTATAGGAGTGGGAACATCACGTTAAGGTTGTACAGGACATTGGTGAGGCCTCTTCTGGAGTACTGTGTGAGTTCTGGTCACCCTGATACAGGAAGGATATTATTAAATGAGAGAGGGTTCAGAAAAGATTTACCAGGATGTTGCCAAGAATGGAGGGCTTGAGTTATAAAATTAGGCTGGATAGGTTGGCATTTTTTCACTGGAGCATAAGAGGTGGAGGGGTGACATTATATAAGTTTATAAAATCATGAGGGGTATAGATAAGGTGAATAGCAAGGGTCTTTTCCCTAGAGTGGGAGAGCTCTAAACTAGGGAGAATATTTTTAAGGTGAGAGGAGGAAGTTTTAAAAAAGCACATGAGGGGCAATTTCTTTTACACAGAGAGTGGTTTGTGTGTGGAATGAACTGCCAGAGGAAGAGGTAGATGCAGGTACAGTTACAACATTTAGAAGACATTTGGATAAGTGCCTGAATAGGAAGGGTTTGGTGGGATATGGGCCAAACGCAGGCAAATGGGACTAATTTTGTTTGGGAATATGGTCAGTGTGGACTAGTTCGACAGAAGGGTCTGTTTCCATGCTGTATGACTCTCTGACTCTCTGAGTGCAGTACTGTAGCAGTGATGTCATTTTTTTTTAGCTACGACGTTATACCCCTTCGTGTTGTCTCAGGTGAACATAAAAGATTCCATCTGCTCTTGAACACATTACAGTTTATATGAGCCCCTGCAATGTGTAATTTGTGTTTCTTGACATTAGCAGGTCAGGCAGCATCTGTGGAGAGAGACAAAGTTATGATGAAAGATCAATGCCCTGAAACATTAACTGTTTCGCTCCCCAGATGTTCCCTGACCTGTTGAATATTTCCAACGTTTCCTTTTTTTAATTTCAGCTTTCCAATATCTGCAGTGGTTTCATTTCACATTAGCACACTTCAAAAGTACTTCACTGGCTGTGGAGCTTTCCCTATATGAATGCACATTCTATTTTTTCTTTGGGTTTAAATCGGTTAAATTCTAGCCTAAATAAGCAGACAGGGAAATTCGACACAGAGGTTTTATTGTACTACAAAAACAGAAATTGTTGGAGAAACACAGTAGGTCTGGCAACAACTGTGGAGAAAAAGAGCAGTTAACATTTCAGGATGAGTCATGGGCTACTGGACTCAAAACGTTAACTCTGCCTTCTCTCTACAGATGCTGACAGACCCTGTGAGTTTCTCCAGTAATTTCTGTTTTTGTCTCAGATATCCTACATCTGCAATTCTTTTATATTTTTAGGTGCCACTGTACTGTTTGATAATATCACACAATGTAGTTTAGCCACATTTACGCATTCACTTTTAAAACAAATTGATGGTAGGTGGTCCCTTCATTGTTGCCAAGGTAGGAGGGTGTTGGGGTAATTACCTTGTGTTCATGTTGGTAAGAAATATAGTGTTGCAAAATAAAATGCCTTTCCACTTTGGGCATGGCATACTAAGAGAAAATACGCTCCAAACAAACTTTTTAAAAATTCAGTCTTGGCACTGCTCCTTTCCTCCAGATGCTGCCTGGCTTGCTATGTTCTTCTTCAGAAATTACTCCACTCACACCCTTTGAATGACTTAGTGGAGCTCACTTCAATTGAGTACTCCCATGGCTTTCTAAAATTTGCAAAATTTTCGCAGATAGGATCATTGATTCCATCAACTTCTCTAACCAGAGCAACAGCAATGGAGCTGAAAACTGCTAAAAGAAAATCTTCAGCCCATTTGACCCTCAGGCCAATTCAGGTCAGGGTGGATTTGCTTGGTTCAGAATGAATTTGATTGGTTCAGCATGGCTGATACAAACAGCACGCTTTCGTTGTACAAGTTAACACACCAAATCTGGTGTCCACATCGAGTTGGGAACATAGGAAGTTCCAGGTAAAATTAAAACTCCCCCTGCACCGCCTCTTCAAGCACTCTGACCCCCATATTCTTTAATAAATACGTCCAAATGTATTTTTTTCATTCTTATGGGCCAGACAAACTATGAAGCCTCAACCAGAAATCCATATCATTATTGATTCAAATTTAAGCTGATGATGCAAACATTTAGAATCAGTTTGCCAGTCACACTGAAAGTAAAACACTTTCCAAATTTCCAGGCCCATGAAATTTACACCAAACAGCCAAGAGAATAAAACATCAAACAACTGTGAGAAGTCTGGACTCCAAGGTGAGATTGTCAATAGCTTGTAAACCACAGGTTGGATACTTGTGAGATATAGTAGAGGTTAGAAGCATATGTTTGCTCCCTTTAAACTTATCGGTCAACCAATTCCCAGTTCAGAACAGGTTATAAACAGAATTGCAGTTGCAATTCT